GTTGTGTTAGTTTCAGGTGTACAGCAAAGTGATTCAGTTATATACACGTGTATATATATATATATATATATATATATATATATATATATATATATATATAAATATATTTTTTTTCAGATTCATTTATATACACATGTATATATATATATATATATAAATCTATTCTTTTTCAGATTCTTTTCCATTATAGGAAAAGACATTTAGGTTGCTTCCATGTCTTGGCTATTGTAAATAGTGCTGCTGTGAACACTGGGGTGCATGTATCTTTTCGAATTAGAGTTTTCTCTGGATATATGCAACGCTCTACAGTTTTTTATCAAGAGCCTACTATGTGCCAGCCATAGTGTTAGACACTGGGGATATAGCAGTGGCGGGGGGATGAAAATCCCCGCCCATATGTAGTATGTGGGAGAGTGGTAAGTAATAGGAAGAGACATGAACAGGAGAGGTGATAGGAACATGAAGAGTGGAGAAAGTTTGAGAGTTTAAATATGGTGGCCAGGGAAGGCCTCACTGGGAAAGTGCTGAGAAACCCTGAGACCCAAGGGGCATGGTTATCTGGGGGGCGAGCATTCTGAGCAGAGGTCCTGGGGTGAAGTAAACCCAGCACATTCAAGAACCCCTGAAACAGCCAGTGTGGCTGGGTGGAGTGAGGTGGTGGGGGAGGGCAGATCATCTAGGGTCCTGTAGACCATTGTAACAACTCTAACTTTTACCCTGAGGGAACTGGGAAGCTGTTACATGGTTTTGAGCAGAGGAGTAATGCTATATGACTTGCATTTTGACAGGATCACCGCGGCTACTGTGTTGGAAATAGACTGAAAGAGGGCAGAGCTAGAAGCAAGAGACCAGCTAGGAGGCCACTCCAAAAACACAGGTGACAGATGATAAAAAAAATGTCTCAGGCCAGGTGATGGCAGCGGCGACCGCGAGAAGTAGTAACTAATGGAGCTATTTTTGAAGGATTGACTAATGTATTAGATGTGGGTGTAAGAGAAAGAGAAGAGGGAAGGAACGACACCAAGAATTTTAGCCGTGGAGGAGCAAGATGGGGGAGGGAAACTAAAAGGTCTCCCTTGTGAGAAGTTAATTTTGAGATGCCTGTTAGGCATCCAAGCAGAGATTTAAAGAAAGCAATTGAATATATGAGTCTGGAGTTCAGGAGAGAGGTCTGAACTGAAGCTATAAATTTGAGTCATCAGCATAGAGATGGCACTTAAAGCCATGAGCTTGCATGAGATCATCAGTGACTGTAGAGGTACAGGGAAAGGGTCTAGGGTAGGGGTAGGTCCTAAGGGAAATCAACAGTCCCTTGCAAGTCACCCACTTTAGGAGAGATCATTATGGCGTCTGAGATTGGGAGGCTGACCTCCTCAGACAGGGAAAGAAAGGATTGCTTCTACTGACACAGGAGGCTTGGCAGAATTTAAAGTCTGAAGTCCTCAAGTTCATCAGAAACTGCCCATGTGTCCCCCTCCCAATTTTCAGAATCCTTCTCTTCCCAATCAATGCCCTAACTTTAACAGAAAAACTTGCAAGATTGTAAATTTTGTGGGGGTTTTTGGTAATAGCTTTTGAAAGATGTATTGGATTGACCAAAAATTGCCTTTGGTTTTTAAGTAAAAATAAAAGACACATTTTTCATTTTCACCAAGAACTTTACTGAGCAACATATTCACCCTTTTGTTCCACTACCTTTTGCCATTTTCCAGGCAACTTCATAATTCCATCTTCCCAAAACTTTTTATCTTTTTGAGCAAAGAACTGTTCCAGGTGCCTTTTACAGTCTTCCAGGGAATTGAAATTTTTTCCATTAAGACAATTTTGTAAAGACCGAAATAAATGGAAATCTAAAGTTGCAATGTCTGATGAATACGGCGGATGAATCAGAACTTCCCAGCCAAGCTGTAACAGCTTTTGCCTGGTCATCAAAGAAACATGTGGTCTTGTGTTATCCTGATGGAAGATTATGCATTTTCTGTTGACTAATTCCGGATGCTTTTCATCGAGTGCCACTTGCAGTTGGTCTAACTGGGAGCAGTACTTGTTGGAATTAATTGTTTCGTTTTCCAGAAGGAGCTCATAATAGAGGACTCTCTTCCAATCCCACCATATACACAACATCACATTCTTTGGATGAGGACCGGCCTTTAGTATGGTTGGTGATGGTTCATTTCACTTGCTCCATGATCTCTTCTGTTCCACATTGTTGTACAGTATCCACTTTTTATCGCCCGTCACAATTACATTTAAAAACTGAACATTTGCATTATGTCTAAGTAGAGAATCACATGCGGAAATACAGTCAAGAAGGGTTTTTCTTGCTTAACTTATGTGGAACCCAAACTTCAAAGCAATGAACATAACCAAGCTGGTACAAATGATTTTCAACGCTTGATTTGAATATTTTGAGTATGTCGGCTGTCTCCTGTGAGGTATAATATTGATTGTTCTCAATTAATGTCTCGATTTGATTGCCATCAACTTCAACTGGTCTACCTGAGTGTGGGGCATCGTCCAGCGAGAAATCTCCAGGGCGAAACTTCACAAACCACTTCTGACACGTTCAATCAGTCACAGCACCTTCTCTATACACTGCAACAATCTTTTTTCTCTTGTGTTTCGGTTGCATTTTTACCTTTCTTGAAATACTAAAGCGTAATATGCTGAAAACGTTGCTTTTTTTCTTCCATCTTCAATATTAAACTGGCTACACAAAAATTCACCAATTTTGATGTCTTTTTTTAAATGCACGCTGATGTGACAGCTGTCACAATCCAATCTAACAAAACTTTTCAATGAAGTTAAAGACAGCTAATTACCTCTAGAGCCATCGTAAGGAAAAAAACGAATGAACTATTTGGCCAACCCAATAATTCACATACTGTATGATCCACCCCTTTAAAGCATACGATTCAATGGTTTTCAGTACATTCACTGATGTAAATTCTTTTTGCCTTGTAATTCAGCCACCTTCAAGATTAGACCTTGGGTTTGGATTTCAGAAATCTTGGCCTTGAACCCACAGAAGACAAAGTTTCTTTCAGGGCTTTCTGGTTTATCACTTGGATCTGGGCATATAGAGCATTGAGCTCATCGTTTTCTTTACCCAAGCTCTCCAGTGTACTTAAGGGCAACCAACTTCTTTACAATTTTTATTTGCACTATAATCTTCTGTGGAAGCAGCCACTTAATACTCAATGCCTTGTTTTTCCTAGGAGCTTGATTGTAGGTGATTACAGGTGGTCATGTAAGTTTGCCACTTAAATGCCGTGGACTACCAGTGTCCACTTTACCATTAGCAACAGAGTCTTTAAGCCTTTAAATCTAGTCAGATCAGTCAACCAATTCCATATTCCTATCCTTAAGGTTCTGTTCCCCTGGAACCACTTTTGGCACCAATAACAGTGTTCAGTCAGGGGAACGGAGTGACTGGTGTTATGGGACGAAGGACTTATTATAGGAATAAGACCTTGCACAGTTGTGCAAGGAGCTGGGGAAGTAAAGGCCTGAAAGTGATATTGGCTGATCAGGGGAAGAGTCACTCAATCAATCTGAGAAGCCAGACACGTCCAACCACTTATGAAGGGAGCCTCGTGGGTAGGTCTAGGGGAAGCTTTGGTGCTTCCATGGGTCCAGTCAAGTGTCTTGTGGTGGGCCTGGGGCCACTATTGGTCAGTAAGGCTAGCAGTTAGCGACATGTGCTGGACATGGAGAGGAGGAAGCAAAGGCATGCTGGAAAGTGCTAAACACCTGTGCACCTGTCCTGATTGGCTACTGATGACAGTGACCTCTAGAGTCACTGCCGCTAATGCATTCCTGCCTTCATAGAGAACTGAACTGTTTCAAGTTTTCGGCTATTATGTATAATGCCTCTATGAGCTATTATCATATACATATCTTTGTGTAGATACACACTTTTGTTTCTCTTGAGTAAAATCCTAGGAGTGTAATTTCTGGACTCTATCTTAAGTTTATATGTAACCTTTGAAGAATTTGCCAAACTATTTTCCAGTGGCTATGCCACTTTATATTCCCACTGGCATGAAACTTGGTCTTTTCAATTGTTTTGCTTATAGCTCTTCTAGAGGGTATGTAGTGGTATCTCATTGTGGTTTAATTTGCATTTCCATGACGACTAATGATGTTGAGTTTGCTCTCATGCACTTATTAGCCATTCATGTATCTTCTTTAATGAAATGTATATTCAAATCTTTTGCCCATTTTTAATTTGGATTGTTTTTATTGTTGAGTTTTGAGAGTTTTCTATATATTCTGGATACAAGTCTCTTATCAGATATGTTACTTGCAAATATTTTCTCCCAATCTGTGGCTTGTCTTTCCATTTTCTTAACCATGTCTTTGGAAGTGTAAAAAAGTTTTTAATATTGGTGAAGTTCAATTTATCTATTTTTTTCTTTTTATGGATCATAGTTTTTTGTTTGCTCTGTTTTTTGTTATACCTAAGAACTCTTTGCCCAACCCAAGGTCATAAGTGTTTCCCCTATATTTTCTTCTAGAAGTTTGATATTCTTAGGTTTTCATATTTATACCTATGGTCTGTTTTTAGTTAATTTGTGTGCTTCTCAAACCTTAATGTACAGATTACCTAGGGAATCTTGTTAAATCCATATCATGAAGAAAAAAATGCATATTCTGGTTCAGTGAGTCTACTGTGGTACCTGAGAGCCTACATTTTTTAAAACCTCCATCTCTTCCCCTAAAATACTTATGGAAATCCCACTCAGGCAAGTTCTCTTATCTTCCTCCTCATCTTTGGCACAGCTGTTTACCATGCAGATCCACTCAGCTACTCTGAGTTCCTTCTAGTCCCCTCTTACCTCATTGCCCAGATTCTGCAACAGAAGGAAAGACAAAGACAATCCTTCCCCTGCGGAAGGAGGGAGAGGAAAGGCCAAGATGGCAATGACAGAACTCTCATTAGAGGGTGGATTAAGGGAAGAGTCTGTGGATATTCACTTATTAACATTTTTACTCCTGACCCATAATATAATAACTGGGGATAAGGGTAAGTAATGTGGTGACAGGAATTTTTTGAGGAGAAAAAAGTGAGCAAATTTACACACTGAAGGAACAGGGCCAATTGAGTGGAACAATCTGAAATTTAATAAAGAAATCTGGGATGATTGATGGAGTGAGATCATCTTCCACTGAGGGAATTAGGAAGAGGAAAAGGATGGTCCAGGCTGAAATCTCTGAGCAGCTAAAGGGTGCAAGGAAGACCTTGAAAGAAGCCCTCAGTTCCCACCGTAGAACTAAGGGGCAAGGTCATTGAGGAGACAGAGGAAGATGGAAGGGTAGATTTAAGGAAAAAAAGTGGAATGTGGAGTAGTTGCTAAGGAGATGGGAGAAACACTAAGACACATGGAGGATTTCCAGCAGCACTGAGCCCTGGGAGGTTGGAAAGTGTGAATTTGTATGGTGATGCGATTTTCCTTAGCAGAGCTCATTGGTCTGAGTGTAAGTGGCTGGATTGATCCAGGGCTGACTGTTCTGGAGTAGATGGACAGCCATGGGGTACGAAGGTAAAGGGAAATGGTGAGAGAACAACTGAAGTGATGGATCATGGTAAGAAAAGAAGTAGAGCCAAAGGGAGAAAAGAGTTGGGGGCCAAATGAGCAGTTCTGGAACCAGAGGTCACACTGGGGTTGAAAGTGTGTGTTAAGGGAGTGAATGAGCTGCAAGGGTGGGATGCTGTTATCAGAAAGAAAGTTGGGTGTTCAGCTTCAGAACTGGAGCCATTCTAGGTGTTAGATCCAGACCATGGGAAGGAAGTAGAGGAAAGATGAGAGTTGTAAAACAATGGCAGAGCAATAGAAGGGTTTGTTCTGTTACAGCATCTGTCTGATTTTGTGCTCTACGCTACCCATCAAGTCAGAAAGCTGTGGTCACTGCCCTGAAGGAGCAATTGCAAACCCAAGGGACAGACATAGGAAAGGCAGATCTCTGGATAAGTAGACTCCTAGGTGGGTGTACCTGGGAGGTATGGGGAGTAACTGGATGAAGAGTTAGGTAGGAGAGAGACATGGGACTTTCAGCTTTGCGTAGGGCTGGTCCAGGAGGAATGAATTTCCCACCTACTGTCAATTCTCATTATAAAAAGATGGGATTGCAAAAGGGGAAGGAAAGAAGGGAGCTGACATTTACTGAGGGCCTGGCACTGTGCTAAGGGCTTTATATGCAAATACATTATCTTATTTCTCTTCAAATAATCCATTTTACAGATGAGGAATTTGAGTATTTGACAGGGTAAGTAACTTGTCCAAAGATGTACAACTATGAAACCAATGAGCCAGAATCCCAATTGTCCAAGTCTTTTGCATTTTTCCTTTTTGACTGAAGAGCAAAAGCAGAGGGTCTGAGCTGCTAGGAGAGGATTCAGATCCAGCTTCAAACGTGGCCTTTGCAAAGTGCCTTCTCCTTCATTCACCCATCAGCTCATGTCTCAGAGTGGGGCTGGGATCAAAGAATGACAGTCTGCCAGCTAAAAAGAAATTTCCAAAATTACTCAAGCACCGTAAAGGGAATATATGACTCTGGACAACACTTCCTAAAAATCCTTTCATCTATTTCCCTCACCCACCACAGCCTTCCCTCTCTTCTCTCTTCTCCTAAATTCTTGAGAAAAAATTTCTTCTAAACTCTGCCCCCAGGCCTTTGCTCTTTTTCCTGTGCCCTGGGAGAAACTTGGGCAACACAGCCTCCCTAGTGGGCAGGAGAAGGGGAGAGTTTGGAAACACACATGCATTATCGATAGTTGATGTCTTGTCACGAGAAGCATTCTCCCTGTTTTTGAGAGGAAACGGAGGCATGCAGGGGGCATCCTGCCCATAATCACTGCAGCTGGTTTGAGGGAAATCATCACTGAACTCCACCTTGAACTTTTAGACCACTACCTTGAACTTCTGAAACTGATACCATATAATTTACTGTTTAATTCAGTCTGCTCTGTGTTATTCTTGTTTTGTTCCTGGCTGTTTTGGATTCAGTCGGAATAGCTTTCCTTAGCCTTGGGTTTCTAGTATAATTGTTCCACCACTGTCTCTCTAATTATGTGGCTGTCGTCCTTCAACTCTTATTTTCATGTATCTGTATCATTTATTCTGAGCTTCCTCCAGTCTTTTTTGGGAAAGGAACAGAGCATAAGTAAATAAAATATCAATTTCATATGCATTAATGTTATATCTCCAACCTGATTGTGAGCACCTTGAAGATAGAAATTGTGTTTCAGACCTCACTTGATCACAGCCCCCTGGTGCCTAGAGGGGTACCTCGCAGGTATTCCACAAACCCTTATTTCACAAATACTTTTAATTGATTAAGGAAAGTAAGAGGCTGGCCTGTATTGAATACTTACTCCTGACAGATACTCTGCAAACAATATTACATTTCATCTACACAAGAAATGAGGTGTTATTATTCCTGTTTTAGTAAGATGACCAACTCATCCTGGTTTGTTTGGGACATTCTTGGTTTTGACACTAAAAGTCCTGCATCCTAGGCAAACCCATGATGGGTGGTCACCCCACATTTTAGAGATGAGGATGTTGAGTCTTAAAGAGCTTCGATATCTTCTTCAACTTGTCTTGCAAATTCAAATCCAAGCCTGTCTAGAGTATGGAACTAGTGTATTAACAGGACAGACTGGAATATTCGAGAAAAAGAAAGTGGGGTTGCCCAGGGCGCTCTGGTAAAGGCTGTGGCGTACCCCGGCAAGTGATTCATGGGTTCTCATTGCAATTGCCAGGGTGATGAGAGGTAGCTATGAGGTCCTGCGGAGGAGGAGGGCTGTTTAAAGAGCTGCAGGTGGCAGGGCTGGGAGCTGGTCTGAGGGCTAACTACAGAGGGGACAGTGCTGAAGGGCAAGAAGACAACCTCAAGTGGATTCTTTTCATCCCAAACAAGCCACCTTGAACTTTTTGTTGCAGTCACCAAGGGTGTGTCCCCTGCTGATTGTATCAGACCTGATTCTCACTGACTGCATCAGCTGATGCCAACTTTGCCACTTACAGAGGAACAGATGAGTAATTTGGACCCGATCATTATTCCCTGCTTACTACGTGCCAAATATTTATGGAAGCAAATACGTGTTTAGTTTACAGCTGATAATAGGGAGCCCATTAGCTCCCCCCAGTTATCCTTCTTCCCTCCGGCAGTCAGGGAGTTGCTCAACCTTGAAGGAGACCAGCTGAAGACTTTCTGCTATATGGGAAGGATCACATTTCTTTTCTGCCACCAAGTTTATCGACTGTCTAGGAATTTTTCCTGTGTTCTACATTTTTGTCTATTCAGGTTCTCTGTTTCCAAATCTCTTTCTCACTTTACAAAAAATGAGGCCCTTGTGGTACTGAAGATCCGAAACCTCCAAATTCCACAACTGTCCCCAGCACGGTTTCTGATACTTCCCACCTGACAGGACAACCCAATCGATTGCTTTCCTCAGGCTCAGGGATGACCAAGGAATGCCCAGGATGTTCTGGTTCCCTTAATTCATGTGAACTCGTGTTTTTATTTTATTTTATTTTTTATTGAAGTATAGTTGATTTACAATGTGTTAATTTCTGCTGTACAGCAAAGTGATTCAGTTACACATATATATACATTCTTTTTTATATTCTTTTCCATTATGGTTTATCACAAGATATTGAATATAGTTCCCTGTGCTATACATTAGGACCTTGTTGTTTATTCATCCTATATATAATAGCTCACATCTGCCAACCCCAAAGGCCCACTTCATCCCCCTTGGCAACCACAGCTCTGTTCTCTGTGTTTGTGAGTCTGTTTCGGTTTTCATAGATAAGTTTATTTGTGTAATATTTTAGATTCCACATATAAGGGATATCATATGATATTTTCTTTCTCTGTCTGACTGACTTCACTTAGTATGATAATCTCCAGGGTCCATCCATGTTGCTGCAAATGGCATTATTTCATTCTTTTTACGGCTAATATTCCATTGTATATATGTGCCACATCTTCTTTATCCATTCATCTGTCGATGGACATTTACATTGTTTCCGTGTCTTGGCTATTGTGAGTAGTGCTGCTATGAATGTAGGGATCTGTGTATCTTTTTGCATTATAGTTTTGTCTGGATAGATGCCCAGCAGAAGGATTGCTGGATTATACAGCAACTCTTATTTTTAGTTCTTTGAGGAACTTCCATAGTCTTCTCCATAGTGGTTGCACTAACTTACATTCCCACCAACAGTGTAGGAGGGTGAACTCATGTTTACGGAGCCACACACTGAACTCGGAGCTGGGCACCCAGGGCAGAATGGCATGGTTCTGTCCGAAAGGAGCTCACAGGATAGTAAGGTACTCACAGTCTTTACGCATTTGTGAAGGAAAAAAATATGTCATTATGGTTTATGTTACCGATGTGATTAAAAAGCACTTTTATCCTTTGAAAGGACCCAAATGATAATAAAATGGAGCAACACAGGACATGATAACCAGCTATCAATCAGAAAAATGTTTTCAGAACCACAAAATGAAAGAGAAAACAAATGTATTATGGCCTTGTGCGGATGACACCAGTGAATGCAAATTGTTACTCTTGTTTGAGGTCCACTATTTTTCCAGATTCCTTTTTTTATTTATATATAACTTTATCCAAACACAACAAATTTTAAATTCTACGTCTTATATACTTTAGAGTTTATTAGCTAAATAATCCTATGATTCTCAAGCTATAGCTGCCACTGATTCTTAGAGTCTAGGATTCTTTTGACAGATTTTCATAAATCAGATTTATATATAGTTATAATTCAGATAAAATTTACACTCTCGTTGTAAGTAAAATTACTAAGAGTAAAAGCTTTCAATTTTTAAATCACTGGGCTCACCTGCTTCCAGAAAAATGATCTCTCACCTCAAACTGCTTTTATTTGCAACTCTTCCAGCAATCAGAACTCTACAAGTCAATTTATGGGTCTGGATTTGAGAGTTTGCTACTTTAATTAGGCATATAAATCCCTCTGCTTCATTTTCCATTACAGCTCTGTGTCTGTCCAAACTTGCTCTATTGAAGTACAGAGTATATCATGTATTCAACTAGTAGTAAGTCCACCTGGGAGACTTATCAGATGGCCATGATTTATCAAGGGTGGTCAGAAGATCAATGTTTTAAATACTCTTTAATGTGGATAAAAGAAACTTTGTTAATAATTTCTTCATGCTAGGTTAGATTTACTTTAGGAAACATGGTATTATGATGGGATTTCAAAAAGATTTTTTTTTAAATGCCCTGAAGAAAGAGAAACAAATATATCTAGAATACCAAGGGTAATAGAGGAGGTAAGAAGAGGTAGATAACATTTTTCCTTACTTATAACCCGGCTCTGAGTTCAACAGCCTCTCTAAACATATGTCTTTGCTTCACTTCATCGAGGCCAGAAAATGATTTTTTTAACTTTCAGTCTCTAAGGACAATATCTTCAAGAAGTTATGGGTCACCAGGACCAACTAGAACTTTCACAAAATAAGCCACTAACCTTCTGGGTGAACTTCTGCAGGGGTGCCTGGCTATCCAGCTCCAGCTGTGTTTGCAGCAGACCCACACTGAAAAACAATGTACATAAGAGACAAGATTCCTTCTGAGAAAATGTATGGGTTGTATGCTGAAGGAAAAGAAAAAAATTCACAATGAGAACTTGACTCTCCCCAATAATCTTGTATTTCTCCCCTGAGTTCTGTGGGGAGTGGGGAGAGTTGGCCTATCAAAGGAGGACAGTTTACATCCTCCTTTTCCATCACATCACCTTTCCATCTTCCCCCAAATGGCCAAATCTCTTTCAAGGTTATGAGAAGTTGTTCCCAAGGCAAGAAATGATCTTGGGAAACTGAGCATCAGCAACTCTGAGGGAGAGTTAATAGTGATGTAAAATGCAAAGGTAACACTGAATGACCCCCACATTTCCATTATGATTTCAAAGAGAACATTTCACAGAAGCCCGACCACCCAGGATCACAGGATAGTATTGAACCCCAACGTCTATAAATGACTGACCCTTCAAACCAAGTCATATTGGTTTTAGCTTAGAAAGAGTCTGGTGTTGATGATGCCAAGATTCTGTTTGTAGAGAAGAGTTCTGGCCAGCAGCCATCCCCTGCATGCTGGGTCTCAGAGTGAGTCGTGAGACTCAACACAACCACCAACATGAATGAAACCTTTGTTTTGAGGGGATGGGAAGGTGGAGGGCAGTTGCAGTTACTGAAGACCTACTTACTGTATTCCAGGCACTCTGCCAGGCACTGAACATATAGAGTCCCTTTTAATCTCAGCACAAATCTGATTTGCTCCAAACAGCATTGACAAAGAAAAAAGAAATGATCTGTACAGGCCATTAGAGGCTTTAAAAGTGTTCTATGCAAACCGTAGTATGTATTCTCAGCCTGTCTGTCTTCGTCATGGCTCGATCCCCAGGGTCTAGCACAGGGCCTCACATGCAGTAAGTGTTCAATAGGTATTTTTGAATGAATGTGCATTTTTAACCCATTCCCCCATTAGAAAAATAAAATCCCACATTTTGTTATATAATTTCCAAACAGTTAAATATCTTAATAAAAAAATAATGCAATGGAAATTTCAAGTAAGGCTTTTCAAATTATATGCATCCTGCTCTTTGCCATCCCATCCGAGGGGCCATGTCTCACTGGTTAAAAATTATTGCCTTAGAAATAGCTGAGTGTGGAGTTTAAAAATGAGAAGAACATCAAAAGGAAGTAACCGTGGGTGTGTACAGTAACTACACACTAAGCTATCCATTGTGGGGCCTTTATCCAGTCAAAGAGTCAGAACGATGCCTGACGAAGTCCATAATAAATTATGCGATAAAATAAAAAAATACAATAAGATATTCTACATCCACTAAAATCAAGATTTTAAGGATATTTAATGATATGGGGAAATACTGTATTATTATAAGTGAAAAAAGCAGGATGCAAAACTTTGTGTGTGTTTTCATTGTTGTAATGCATATACATTACATGCATGGAAAAATGGGAGAAGGAAATACACCAAAATGTTAGTTGTGATTATTTATGGGTGGTGGAATTATTGGTGATGTACAATTCTTCTTCATACTTGTCAGTATTTTCTACTATTTTTATAATACATATGTATTACATAATTTTAAAATTTTTTTAAGAAAGAAGGATTTGATAATAGAATCACAGAGGTCAAAAATATAGGGTTGACGTCTCCCTGATGCCATGATTGACTCTAGGGAAATGGCAGAAGTTTTTATACTAAATAGAATAACTTTTTGCTAATTTTTTAAAGGAATTCTCCCCTAGATTAGGCCTCAGTTCGGCATAGTCAGCCACATTGCTGATTTGACTCAATAATTTTGTCTTCATAGTTTTCCATGTTAGTCCAGACAATAGCCACTCTGAAATTTATGTTTGTATTCTGTGAGAAAGGCTTCAAAAGTTAGTAAGACACTTCTGTAAATAGTGTCATTTGTCCACTCAAAAATCATTATGTACCTACTGGGCCCCAAGTGCTGTGGTGAACACTGGGAAAAGGTCCATTTCATTCTGAGGTTTTTATATCACTCTTCAGATGGGGGCTTTATATCACTCTCCATCTGGGATGTGCCAGGAGAAATGCAATCAGAAAGGATGGCTCAACAACAAAGAAGGCAATCCTGCCATTTGTGCCACCATGTATGGAACTTGAAGACATTATGTTAAGTGAAATAAGACAGAGAAAGACAAATACTGTATGATCTCACTTATATGTGGAATCTAAAAAATCCAAACTCATAGAAAGAGAGAGTAGAATGGTCGTTGCCAGGGGCTGGGAGTTGGGGGAAATGGGGAGATATTGGTCAAAGGGTATAAACTTCCAGTTATGAGATGAATAAGTTCTGGAGATCTAATGCACAACATTGTGATTAGAGATAACAATACTGTTTTATTATACACTTGAAAGTTGCTAAGAGAGTAGATCTTAAATATTCTCACCACACACACACACACACAAAAAGATAATTATGTGAAATGATGAAGGTGTTAACTAACCTTACTGTGGTAATCATTTCACGATATATATGTGTATTAAATCATCACATTGTATGCCTTAAACTTACATAATGTTACATGTCAATTAATCTCAATAAAGTAGGAAAAAAATGTTTTTAAAGGATGAGAATTGAGTCAAAAGCCCTGCCTGGTCCTGCAGGCAGCTGGGATCTGCCTTGTGGGAGCTTCACCTGTTCCAGGTCTTACTCAGCTCAAAGGGCTAGGCCAGAAAATACCAGAAAGAGCCTACAGGTTCTCACTGAAACCCTCCAAGCCTGGATGGGCAGAGTCTTTGTTGAGAGAAGCCATGGGGGAGAAATGAGTGTTAAATTTAAAGAGAAATATTTTAAAATTATACTACTTCTGCCAGAATGACATCAACTATGACAATAATATGATGGTACTAATAATAAGTAAACAGACAAATAAAGGCAGCTACAGAGAGCAGTGTGCATACTTACACTGTGACCTCTCTCAACCTCAGAGTCCTTTTGGGGACAATATTGCTCCTTTTGCAAGGTTGCTTTGAGAATTAGAAATAATATATGTAGCTGGCAGGATACAATCCCTGACAAATATTAGGCATTCCATCATGATAGATATAAAGCCTGTCTTATCCTGCAGCACTTCATACTTTCAGAGTTACCTACTTTGTATGGCAGAGTTTTTTTTTCTTTTTTTTAATGAGAGATGAAACAGCCAGAAGATAGCCAGGAAGTGGGAAAGAGCACAAAACAAGGGTCTGTTGGAAGAACTGAGGGACTTTATAGAGCGAAGGCCTTGAACTGCAAGTGAGTGTTAGAGCGCCCCCTTCAGGCAGGGTTTGGTGTGCATTAGTCCGATGTGGGGGGCAGTTTAAACAAGCCACGCAGAGCCAGGTGAAATCCCAGCACGTGTCTCTGCTTGGTTTGTTTTTCTTTCAAAAATGGTATTACTTATTCAACCAGCTTTGCACAAGAGAGCTAAAATTACTGTATTTAACATTAACATATCTATATTACTATACTTAATTAATGCATGATTTAGAGCAAGTTTTTTTTTTTTTTTTAATGCCAACATCATGATCTAAATAGGTAGCTTTCTCATTAACCTTGGATGTTAATCAGTGCCTTTTTTTCACCCTGAATCTTTCTTGGTTCATCAGAACCCAGTTTGTCATCTCTCAAAACCACCAGCACCATTTCTTTTTTTTTTTTCCCCAATTTATTTGTGTGTGTGTGTGTGTGTGTTTTCTGGAAAACATGGTTTATATTAAAAGTGGAAAAATATTTTCGATTTGATTCTGGGCTCTACTATCTTCTCTAAGTCTACTATGTGTTTTGCCTTCTATATATCATTAATGGCATCAGAATAATTTGAAATAAAAATTAAAAAGCTCTTTATACTCCTTCTCACAGGAGCCATATCAGTTTGAACTGACCAACGCCATTTCTATTTCACAAGTACAGTACATAACAAGCACTTATTAACCATTAATTCTGTTAAAAAGAAACATTATGCTAAAAGCTCAGGAGAACTCAAGAGAAGTATAAAACACAGACTCTTGCCCTTGAGGGTTTTCTAATCTAGTTGTGAAGACAAAACACACACAGATGAAATGGTTAAGTCACAAGGAAGAAAATAATTGTGAGCTTCTCTACACTAGGACTCATACTTCATTCAGCTCTACATGCCCCATTCCCAATACCTAGAACAGTAACCTAGAACATAACGTAGGGGTTCGACAGATGTTTATTGAATTAAACTGAATAGCACGATGATAGAGAGAATAAATGCTGAATGACTGTAGAAGAAATTCCCCTTTTCTTGCTTATTTTTCTCTTTAACACTTGCCACCTTGTTACACAAGATCATTTATTTTGTTTATCATTAATTTCATCCCTCGAAATGCGAGCTTTCTGAAGGCAGAGATTTTTGTCTGTTTTACTCACTGCATATCCACAGAGCATAGGCCTGTGTCTGGAACATGTTCACCCAATAAATGTTTGTTGAATGAATGAATGAGTGAATGAATGTTTTAGCCATAATTTATCAAGGGAGTGCACATAAGTAAGGTTGAGGTTCCTGAAGTCTTGTGGAATTTTAAGTTCAGGGTTAATGACCTGAACACAACATAAAATATTTACCAAAAATGTACCAGTGTGTTTGTTGCAGCTTTATTTATCATCATGGTACTGGAAACCATTTAAGAGAGGAATAGCTAAGCAAATTATAGTACATCTCTATAATGGATATCATAAATCCATTAAAACAGCAACAGAGATCTGTATTCTTTGGGTGGATACTTATGATATGTTAGAAGTGATAAAATAAAATCACAGTACAGTCCTGTTTTTAAAACAATTATGGGAGGGGGAGGCTAGAGGTATACGAACCAAAAAAATGTGTGGAAGGATTTACAGAATGTTATTACTAGTTGGCAGGAGTAAGGGTGAGATTTTCATTTGTTTTTGTAAATTTTTGTTTTTTTAAACATTTCTTATTGTCTGATTTTAAAACAAAAACAATCATAATATGCATGCATTATTTTAAAATCAGAAGAAAAGGGTATTTTCATTTTTAAAAAGAAGGCTGGGAATTTCATCCTGCAACAGTCCCAGGAGTGTAGAAATGATCTGCTTGGGTCCTGATGTGGGCCTGTGCTCATTACCTTCCCCGCACCCTGCTTCTCTGTACCTCCCAGTGGCTGCTGTGTGACGTAAATGATAGTTGACTGTAACTGATTTAGGCAGTCTGGGATTAACTTGAGGGGATATTGATTTCAGCGGGTGGTCAAATTTAATAGCTAGAGTTCATTACAGAAGTTTCTCTCTCCATCTTTCTTCTTGGCAAAGTCTGCCCTGGATTACCAACTGAACTTCGTCAATGAAATCCCAGAGAACTGCTGTCTCTGGTCCTGACAGCAAGATTCTGTGCCCTAGTAAGAGAACTGGCCCCAAATTCCACCACTAAAGGATCAAATAGACAGGGTCATCACTGGGTTGGTAATAAGAGAGCTAGATAGAAGCTTTGGCTGGGTGACTGTGTCTTGGAAGTTATTGTGATTGGGGGCTGGGGAAATTTAGACATATTCTTCTTACCCAAGGCCCCCAGGGTTATGCCGCTGACATGAGGTGTCCTCTAGGCTTGTAGAGTTCCAAACGACCACTTTATCATGCTGGTTCTGGTTTAACCACCAATGCCTGTAACTAGAGGGGTGTTCTCCTTTAGAGATGTAGTAGCTGTTGGTCCAGAGATCTGGAGCGATGCAGGGAAGCAGGAGGTAGGAACAGCGTGGAATTTCACCACCAGATTGACTTGGGACAAGGTCTTAAATTCTCTAAACTTCAGTTCTCTCATCCATAAAGTTGTGTTATTAACATGTTCCTCACAGAGTTTTAAAGAATACATGAAATTACAAAATGCCTAACCAGTGCATGGCACATAGTAGGGTTCAGTAAATGCTTATTCTTCTATCAATGTCTACAAGTGTCTCCATCTGATTGGAGATTCCTAACGGGTAAATGAAAACTGTTTCTCTACTCACAATACTTCCAACACCAAATGTGAGGGTTTTTCACACCCGGCAATTCTCCAATTTTCTGCAGATACCAACTGGGTGCCCTGCAATTTAACTCAGTTCTGATATTAACTACCAGAGTTAGTGCAGACCCCGCAGGTTAAGGGCTCAGTCCCACAAGACTATTCTCCACTTCAGATACCAGTTGCAAGAAGTGTGTCCCCAGGTTACCCACACTTCTGCCTAACTTGCCTACAGATCAGGGCTTCCCACAACCCCCCTCCTGGGATTCGATAATTTGCTATAATGGCTCACAGAACCCAAGGAAACACTCTACCAGGGACAAAAACCAAATGTCTATTTCTTCTTATGTCACAGTATCACAATGGGCCTCAAGACCCTGAACAATAAAGATATCCTCATTTTTCATAGTATAAGTATTTATTACTTGATTTATTTAATGGCTATTAAGAAAGGGAAGAGGGACAATATATGAGGATCCCACTAAGTGCCAGACGGTCTTCTGGATGTCATGCTTACATCATGTTTTCAAACTCAGTATCACTGTATGAAAACCCTGTACAGATTGTCACAGAGGCTAAGTGACTTGCCCAAGATCATGTAAGTGGCAGAGCTGGTATCTGAATCCAAGTCTATCTGCTCCCAAAGCCTATTTTTATAGACTATATTTAGGTTGTTTTAAGTGGGAGAAATAGTATGAAATCCTGTTATCCTATTATTTTCAGGGTGAGAGATGGTCATCCCTCTAAATAGGTATGGTCAGAGTTTAATTCTACTTCAGTCACGAAGTTCCCCCCACTACCACTTATTCAGCTGGAGGCTGAGTCTGGTTATATAATACGTGATAATGATGACAGTAACGCACATTTTTAACAACTTATATCCGTCAGGCTAAATGCATTATATGCATTCTCATTTCATCTTTCACAAGTCCATGAAATAGGCATTATTATTCCCATTTTAAAGATGAGAAAACTGACATACAATGTCAATAAACTGACAATACTTATAAATAAACAAACAACTTATAAATAAACAAACTGACAATACTTAATCCTAAGTAACGTGCCCAAACAGCAGAGACTAATTTGAGTGACTCACCACTGAACTCCCCACCTCCCATGGAAAGATGCTTCTTGAGCAGACTGGTAGCAACGCATCACACCCTGATCAGGATTCCGGGGCTGAGGCAGGAGACTGGTGCATCTCTCCCTTCCAACTCCTAGAATTAAGTGGCACCTGCTTCACGAGGTCCAGGGATGGCTCAAAGGGTGACCTCTTGCCCTGTCCCCAGAGGTTTGTTCTCACCCTCAAGGGCCAGGAGGCAGCTGGGAAAGCCAGTAACACCTGATGTGGCCTTCATAGAGCAGGGGCCAGGCGAGTGGGGAGCTTCTGGGCTTAGAGTGTCAAAGAAGGCCATAGGAAAAAAAAAAAAAAAAAAACTGGCTGAGGCAGAGATTCAGTCACATGTTCCAAAGGAACTTTTTGTGACCATGACTCACCAAGCAACACTGTTTTACATATGGAGCGGTTATGTAAATTTTCTTCCCCAGAAAGAAAAATCATTGTCAGACTAAGAAAAGATACAAACAAAAATAACACATATAGGAGACAGGAGACTTTAAAAATATAAACTAAATCTCACAAGATGAAGACAAAATTATATAAAACTACACTTCAGTATTTCCCATTACTGTACAGTTTTCAATGGTTATTTGTTATAAAATATGGAATTATTTTTCCAAAGGCTCACAGCACACAGGGAGCTTCTTCACGGAATACCAGCATGCAGATAGCGTTGTTTAAAAATGCAGCTTGTAAGTAAATAAGCAACAAGTCCTTGATCTCGGGTCCACACAGACCAGCCATCTGTTTCTGCCCAGGTGACAGAGAACGTTATCTTAAAGGGCCAGGATTTCTTAAAGCAAGCCTAGTTCCCTAATACAGTGGCCTTCAATTTTTTTCAATCACACAACTTCAGCAGTAAAAATATTTGTACATGTACCTAATATAAGTACTATATTTATTTATCTATAAGTTATAGGTAAGTGTACCTCTATCATTTGCTAATATCTCAAGGCTTAATATACACTTAGAGTGTGGCTTACCGTAAACACCAGTGGAGAAAAAGGCACTGTCCTCTTGATAATTTCTAAATTTGTTTTTGCCAACTTATTGTCTGATCTGATTAAATGGTCTTTGTTTCTCACTTCATAATATATCTGATAGTAAGCATATATCAGATTAGGGACAGTGCCATTTTCTTGTTGTTTACTTGGATTTGTGTTATCTTCAACACACTCTTTCTTTCTTTGCAGGGTTCTTAAGCTACTCCTCCATCTTGTGAGGGTTCATTTAATTAAAACAAAACAGTGCAATCCGTATATCCTCACAAGGAGTGCAAAAGAGGATATTATAATACTCTGAAAGCAGATGAGTGAAGGAAGATACAACCATCAGCCTGTGTGTGTGTTCCTGCACATGTGTACATGTGACACTCAGTGTGCCTCAGGAGACCCCTTACGTTCTGTGTGACATGGGACCAACAGACATACAGACCAAACAAGCATGTATGGATCACTCTGTGTAGTAAATGAAATTAAAGCTTGACTCTTATTTTTAGTTAAGATATATGCAAACATTCCAATATTTTCTTCCTGTATCCCCTATAGAACATTTTGCCCTTCCTGAGCTGCCCAGTCCCCACTCTGGGATACCAGGGCCATGTCCTCCTAGATTTAGGTGCTATTGGAGTCCATGTCTGTGGGTAGGTTGGTGGGGTTTTGATCCCTCTCTGAGTCAGGTCACCTATAAAGAGACCTCAAACCTTGCATCATGGTAACAAAGACTTCTTTGGAAAGCCTCTAGAAGGGAAAGGAAGAGATACGCAAGGTTTTCCATCAGCTCTCCCTCACCCTTAGCCACAGGACAGCCACTAATCCAATTTCTGGGCATTGTAAATAAAAATAGTGGTTATAGATTAATTGACTTCCCTGGAAGAGTCAATTCATAAGACAAAAAAGGAAATTAACAAACAACCATACATATTGAGGAAGGGGATAATGGGATTTTTTTTTAAGCTACTGTTCCTTTTTCCCACAGGTCTTGTGATGTAGTTATGCCTCATCCTGCTCCACAACGCATACCACCATTGGCTGCAATAGTTCATGGTTTTGCATTTTTCTCCTTCACAGGACTGCAGGTTCCTTGAGGCAGAACCAATACAGTTTCGCAGCCTCGGTGCCTAGCATGGTGCCTGGCATAGGAGGTGCTCCATAAATGTTGTTGAGTGAATACACTCTTGGGGATAATTATAATAACCTGTAAGGATCAAGAGAGATGCTAGAAGTAAAGCACTTAGCACAGGGTAATTTCTCAATAAATATACATATTATTGTGTAAGATTATAGAATTGCTCAATCAGTGAGCAATTTTATTGATATTTTTCAAAGTATTTTGTACACTGCAAAAGAGTACATTAATTTATGGTTTTGAATTCCTCTGTTTCCATTGTAGAAACTAATCTCCTTAGAAATACCGAGTCCCGAGCATGCACAGGCCCTCTTACCATTCTGTGGGTTGCACAAGAAACTGGGCTCTGTACTTAGAAAGCTGTTTTTAAATTAGATTGCATGTTACTCAGGTAAGGTGTAAGATGTATAGTTTTATTCTCTCTACACTTGCATCCCCGATTCTAGAATCAGCTTTATAACATCCTTTCTAGTTAGTTCATTTGGTGCTGCTACATTTGCTATTATTCCATAGAAATAGTCTAACCACTGACCCATTATTCAGCAGCTCGTACACTGAGATTCCAGAGGTCTCCACACCCCTTCAATGGTCCTTTCTAGAACATTCACTAAGCATTTGGCTCCTTTTTCAGAACCCCTATCCCTTACACAGCAGTGATGAAAATTCCTTTCCATCCATCCATCCATCCATCCATCCATTCCGTAAGTTATGTGTTTTCTCTTATGCCTACGATATACCTGGCATTACTGTAGATATGGAGTATACAATAGTGAACAAAACAGACCCAAATTCCTGACCTCATGGAGCTTACATTCTAGATAAAATAAATAACTAAAATGTATAACGTCAGATAGTGATAAGTGCTAATGTACAGAGTAAAGCATACAAGGGGGACGGGGAGTTTGGCGGGGTGGGGGCAGGTTGCACATGTTAAAAGGGTGGTAACGTGAAGTTTCACTGGGAAGACGACCTGCACAAAACCTGGAGGAGGAGAGGATGCAGCCAGGAGGATACAGGAAGAAGAGTTCGCCAGATAGAGGGACCAAAGCTGCAGACCTGAGACAGGAGGGTGCCTGTGACAGGGAGGAGTGAGCAGCGGGAAGTACAACAGGAAGCAAGGAAGGAGCCGTATCCAGCAGGGCCTGTAGGCTCTGAACTTATTGGCTTAGAGTCTGAGTGAGCCCGGAAGCCAGTGGAGACAGAAGAGTGACGTGAACTCACTTACGCTCTAACCCGATCGTGCTGCTGCCAGGTCAGTCATGGATTCCGTGGGGAAGGGGGGACACCAGGGAGGGGGATGTTACAGTAACCCAGGTGAGAGATGATGGGGCTTGGACGTGTGGTAATGAGAGGTGGAGGTGGTGAGAAGTAGCCAGATTCTGGATACCTTTTTAAGGCAGAAAATGCAGGATTTTCTGACAGATTCAATGTGGGGTGAGAAAAAGAAACACCCAAAATTGGAGGCCTCGGTGGAGCCACTGCCCTTTAGCCTACTGCACAGAACTATGAAATGTGTGTTCCTTGCAGCTTTTGCCGTAAACCAAAGACAATTTTCTAAACTTAGCCTTTCTTTTTTAACCATTGCTCAATGCATGCATTTCTTGAAAAGTAAGTGTATTTGAAGTTTCCAACTAGTCTAACAGTACGTAAAATACATGATGTGCTGATTCTCTGCAATGAATATCAATCACTAAAACGCCTTGCTTCTCACAGAAATTCTACCAGCCAAATTAGAATTGCAATTTTATTCTTCCTCGGTTGTCTGGTTAAGGTTTCATTTAAGCCTTGGGCTTACTTTTGAAAGCCCTATAAACATTTTACACACCTACTCATATATCACTGAAGTCATTCTGAATTCGGCCTACAGTAAAATTAATTACCATGTCATGAGTCTGTCACATTTCAAAAGAAATCATCAATATTTACTCAGACCTGATTCAATGTCACTTTGCAACGAAACAATATTGGCAGCAAATTTCTTTACAGTACATTCTTTAGTTGGGAGACTTCCATGTGAATATATCCGTAAAAGTTTTCAGAAGACCATTTCAACACGCAGAGAAGCTAGTAAATCAACACTCATCTCTCTTCAAAAATCCATAGGCTTGTAAAATCCACATGCATTTCCAGTTCCTCCTGGGACCGTACCATGATCCTGGCAGCAGCAGAAACAGAAGCCAAGCCTGGGAGTGAGACAAACTGCTAAGCGTTTAGGAGACTGACTGTAGGAGAGCTGCTATGATAGCAGGAAGCAAAGTCCTTGCAGATGAAGGCAATGCAGGCATGACAGGCTGGAGCGATGAGAGCCAGGATTTGAGCGCACTCTGTACCCAGAAATCAAATCCAAAACTCACCAACATGGCGGGTCTGGAGGCAGGCAGCATGGTGTCATGAAAAGCACACTTTAGGGTATAGGTTCAAATCACAGCTCTGCCACTTGGGCACCGTGTGACCTTAGGCAAAGTAATCTCTCTGTGCCTCAGTTTCCTCATCTGTACCAGCTTCACAGAGTAGTAGGGAAGACTCAATGTAAGAGGCTTAAAACAAGGCCTAATACACACATATATATGATAGATCAATAGATAGATACAGATAGATCAATCTATACATATACACACACTTAGATATGTATATACATATATACGTACACATATATAGTACATGTACCACATAGGTATATATATAAACATATATAGTATAGTATAGCGTAGTATACCTAATTAAACTCCAAAGGGCTGAATTTTTTCAATTTATTTTATTGAAATATAGTTGATTTACAACGTTGTGTTAATTTCTGTTATATAGCAAAGTGATTCAGTTATATATATTCTTTTACATATTCTTTTTCATTATGGTTTATCACAGGATATTGAGTTTAGTTCCTGGGGCTACACAGTAGGACCTTGTTGCTTATCCATTCTATACATGTTTCCATCTGCGAATTCCAAACTCTCAATCCATCCCTCGCCCACCCCTTCTCCTCCTTGGCAACCAGAAGCCTATTCTGTATGTCTGTGAGTCTGTTTCTGTTTTGTAGATAAGTTCATTTGTGTCATATTTTAGATTCCACATAGACTTGATATCATATGGTACTTGTCAAAAGGACTGACTTTGAGTCCCCAGCTCTGTCACTGATTCTCTTACTTCTTTCCCTCAGTTTCCTGGGGATATTAATGGCAATCTTGCCTAGAGTTTGTGAGGGTTAAGTAAGATAATGTGAACGAGGTCTGCAAAGTATAAAAAAGTACAGAGAGATGCGAGCTATTGTCATGAGGAGGTTTTCTATTCTACTCTTCCTTTATTTCTATTCCCTTCTCCATCCTGGTGGGCCTGACTTTTTCTCAGTGATCTGGACTTCCTTGACTCGCACAGTCACAGCAGCAACTGGCGAGCAAAGCACTTCCTCAGGCTGGCCAGGCCCCCATCTCATGTCCTGGTTCAGGGCTGCCCCTTCAGGACTGTCTCTCAAGGAAGCACAAGGGTCTTTAAGAGACTGGAGCTGAAGTGTGTAGGTTGAACTTGCTTGCACTGATATTTAGGTCTTTGTGCTC